TTAACTGTGTTCAACGGTAAATCTTTCACAAAATCATGTGTAGTATCACACGCCACACGTCGTACTGTCTGGTCACAGACATCAGAAAAATGAAGTGGTGGATTTGAAAGAGATTGTAATTAATGTGGAAAGTGGGATTTGAGGGCGAGCTACTTTCATCACGAGGATCCCGGCGATGAAAGGGTTGTGGGGGGGGGTTAAAGGGAAGTGTGTGTAAATATTGTAAATGAAAAATAGAGACACATTAACAGAAATGTATTCACTTTCTCTGGGGGCGGGAGGGGAATGTTCATAGTGTATTTAGAATTTGTAAAGCTTGCATCCTTCTGTCAGATACTGACTTGGGACAATGTGTTTGATTGCGTCTGTGCGGACCTCTCTAACCACGCCTGTTCATTTATGTAAGATATTTTATGTTCCCAAGGAAAAAAAGACAGTTTTCTTTTGTGTAATACTGTGTGTTTCTCTTATTACCTGTGTACTTTGTAAAGGTGCTACAAAATATTAAGGCCTTTTAAGGTATAATTGGGACTTGGAGACATTGAGCCTGGTGTGGCTCTAAAGGGTTGTTTCCAAATTTACACTTTGTAAAAAAAAAAAAAAGTTTTTGTCAAATTTATAAAATATGCTATAAAGGTACAATCTGAAGTGATTGGCACAACAGGTAGCAGTTGTCTCTTTGGTTTTGTACATTCTATGTACAATCATTTCATATTTTAAACTGTTCAGAAACACATTGTGATTTTTAGTCTTGCAAATCTGTATGTAGTTAGATGACGTGACATTCTAATATTTATCTAATAAATATGTATTCAGATAAAACACATATCATGGCATTTGTGGTATTTTTATAACACCAAGTACTAATTTGAAAACACTTATGTTTGACTAAAATGATTCTATACATTCGTGTATTTTATAAAATTATACCTTGTTTTTACACAAAAAATTCTATCAGCTATTAATTATTTTCGTTTAAAATTATTTAACTATAAATGATAAATAAGAATACTTTAAAAACTTGGTGCTTTTCAAGTCGACTGTTGGTTAATCCCTCAGTCAATCTGAATTATATTACTCATTCTTCAGGATAAAACCTGGAACTGGCGATACGTTTCTAGGATCGTCGGAAAAAATATTCTGACGCAGAAATAACTTAATTATACATCATTCTTTCCGGCATACTCAGACTTTACATGAACAGTTGTAAACATTTATATGTGATTCATGTCAGTCATTTTATTGTTCATTATTTAACGTACGTGGTATTTTTGTTCTACATTTTTTTCATATTAGGTTCACTTGTGAACTAGATCTTCAACTAAAATCATACACTTGTGCGTTACGGCTGAATTGCAACATTTCCGCTGGTCCATAAATGCGTCATTGATACCAGGCGCATGCGCTGTGGTCTCTTCTCCACCAACTATCGCGGACGTTTCCTTCCGCCGCCATCCTTCACTCCAGAGCCGGACAGTAACAGATCACCTGCAGGACATCATGAACTTCACGGTGGAAGAGAGAGGAGCCCCGAACTCCCTCAGCTACCGTCTGTTCTACAGTGAGTTGTACTCCGAACATTTAAATGTCAGATTTGTGTTTGTTTCCGTTTGCTATTTTCAAAGACGCTGCTGCAGCCTCATAGGCCAACGGGATCCTCCCACGTGTCATATTCATTCTATTCATTCATAGTAACTATTTACTTTAGTAATTTTGCAGCCGCGCGAATCTTTGTTTTAATATCATTCTAAACGCTGTCGACTAACGCCGTTCGACTGACGACAGCCTCCGTGTCGTTTTTGTGAAGTCACTAAGTGAAATGTACAATTTTGCGTCATCGAGCTGAGCGACGCCTTCAATGAATAAAATCACTGTTTAACTGTGAACCAAAACTATTCTAGATATGCAAGTATAGATATTAAACCAAACAGAGTATCCAATAGTTAAATATAACTTAACTAACTAAACATAACTTAGCTTCATTCATAGTTACAAAATGATGAAACATGAGTGTTTTGACTAACATTTACAACTACATTTTTTATACAGTTTTTTTTTATCTCGTTATTTAAGGCTAAATCATATAAATATATTTTATTTATACATTTATACCTGTATCCTAAAAAAAAAAAGATTTTCCGACCCCTCTTCGTCATTGTCTTATTAGGTGGACGACTAAGCTTGACAGACGTATTAATAGACTAAAAAGCGTATTGTTAATTATTAATTTGAAGGCTTAATACTATTTAGGGCCTAAAGTTAGCCTGTTGGACCTGTGGAGTGAGTCTGAACAGTGAATGTACAACAGGTTTAGATCGTTCCAACAGGAACCTGCCCTGCGCGTTCCATTATCTTCAGTGCTCGTCTGCAGACGTCGATGTCCGGAAGTATTAGTTTGTCTGAATCATTTTAAAGTAACTATTGTGTTCAACTTCAACGATGTTTAATCTGCTTCTTGTACAGAAAATGAAGAAGGAAAATACATCTCACCATTCCATGATATACCCATGTACGCAGATGAGAGTCAGGTAATCAAACCTCCGTAAATAACCTTTGCCCAAGCAGTTTCATTATCGTGTGTAACTACGAGTGACTGATTATTACCACAATTGAGCAATGAAAACATTTTTGCAATGCCTCTAGAAGCTACATACTTTGTATTATATTTTTATATATTCAATCATGTTTTGATATATATATACATATATATATATATCATATTTTATACTTTTTTTTATCTTAACAATTGTATTTCCTGTCTCCTTCAGAACATCTTTAACATGGTGGTGGAAGTCCCAAGATGGACAAATGCAAAGATGGAGGTATAACATGTTTGTATGCACTTTCTATTTTATTTTTATGCTTCTCCTCCTTTAGACATGACACATGAAATAAGTGGACATCACATCCAAAAAACATCTTTGAGAAATGAATGGGAGATTAAACACAGAGATTCGATTAGGTTTATCTGTAACACAGAACCTGACTAGACAGGATGTTTTTGGTAGTCTGGTATTTTTGTTTTGTTCCACATCCTGTACAGCTTCTGGTGTTGTCACAAATTACAACAAGACAAACACGGGTGGAGTCAGTGACGTGCTGCGTTAGTTTATTGTGGCTCTGTTTTTATGGAATGCTACAAAAGCTAGTGTTTTAGTTCTTTTAGAGTTTAAGCATTTAGTGTTAATTTTTGGGATCTTTGTCAGAACCTAACCCTATTGTATTCCCTAGTCCATTCTATTCTATTTTATTCTATTAATTTCCATTCAGTCTACTCCTGTCTATTTTGGGGTTTTTTTCTATTGTATTGAACTTTATGCGTAGGCAACAATTTAAAAAATTTTTTTTTTTTAGAATACTAACATTTATAATAAAGATTGTTTTACTACAACTGAGCCCATTTCTCTGTCTGGTTCCTTGTTCTCACTTTATTGTCCAGATTGCCACCAAAGAACTGTTGAACCCCATCAAGCAGGATGTAAAGAAAGGTGCGCTGCGCTATGTTGCTAATATTTTCCCTCACAAAGGCTACATCTGGAACTACGGAGCCATCCCCCAGGTAGAATGGCATTACTGGAACCTTTATCCACTAAAAAGTGTTGAGTCTTTCCAACTATTGTTTTTGTTGTCTTCATGTGTATTGATGTTAAATCTCGCAGACGTGGGAAGATCCTGCTCACAAAGACGGAGACACCGGTTGCTGTGGCGACAACGACCCCATCGATGTTTGTGAGATTGGAAGTCGGGTACGAAGCTGGCTGCTGGATACACAGCCGTAGATTAATTTTCTTCATCTCAGTGTCACATTAGTTTGATGTTGTTATTTCTGCCGTATGTTTGTTACAAAGCAAATCTAATCTGTGATCTCCAGGTCTGTTCTCGCGGCGAGCTCATTAAAGTTAAAGTCCTCGGCATCCTGGCCATGATTGATGAGGGTGAGACCGATTGGAAGGTGATTGTCATCAATTCAGACGATCCTGAAGCCAAAGACTATAATGGTGAGTCAGACCACTCTCCCCCACTCCTCCCTCCCCCACCCATCAGTCTGCCCAGCATCAGTCACAATGGCATCATTTGATTTCTGCTCCTTCTCAGACATCAGCGACGTCCGTCGTCTGAAGCCTGGATATCTGGAGGCCACAGTCGACTGGTTCAGGAGATACAAAGTGCCTGATGGGAAACCAGAAAACCAGTTTGCTTTCAATGGGGAGTTTAAAGACAAGGTTTGTTCTTCACTCACCTTTGTGTTGTTTTTTTACTAGCACTAAAGAAATGATACTGATCAAAACTTTATTTGACTTCATCAAATCAACCTCGCAATGTTACATTTTGTTGCGTTACAACTGAAGGAGTTGCATGTGATATTTGTCAACTTCAGTGTTGTCCAATGTGAGGCAATACGTTTTGTAACAGTGGCCTTTTTTAACGATTTAACGATTTCATATTGGCCTATAAAAACCAGTAGTTGTTGTACAGTAGAGACTTTATGAATGTTTTTTTTTATTAAGTCAAATCAAAATCAAAGATGTTTTTGTTTCAGGACTTTGCCATTGAAGTGATTAAAACCACCCACGGCTTCTGGAAAGCACTCATCTCCAAACAGGCCTGTGCTGGAGAACTGAACTGGTACAAACTACATCACTTTGACCCTATATATGTCAATAGGACCTCTCAGTTTCAGTATGTGGAAGTAATTCCTCTATATTGGGTTAAAGTTTAATCAGAAAAAAAAATATATATATAGTATTTAAATTAGTAAATTCTAATGTGAACACACTGTGTAAAAGACTTTGAGCTTTTACAGAGAGAGTCATGTAATAAAGAGGAAATTGAGTTGAACACACTCAGTCACTGATGTAAAAGAGAAGTGGTTCAGCATAAGTGTGGTTGGTTAACCGCATAGTTTGTTTGGTTGTTTGTTTTTTTTTTAAACCTTATTTGGAAATATGAGATAAAATAAATTCAATCCTAACAACTCAAAACTGACCAATAGAAGAGAGGCAGCCTGTGACAGCCTGTGACCTGATGCTTTATCTTCTGTTTTCCTCTGAATTTAATTTAAATTTCCAAACTGAAATACATGTTTAATGGCAATACTTTCCTCCTTACAGTAAAAACACATGTTTCTCTGGGGGAGACAGCTCCTACTGCTGCTCAGCAGACGAGGCTAAAGCTGTTGTCGAAGTAAGTAACCACAGAATTTCAGGTCAACCTTAATGTTTTAATATTAATAATTAAATATGAATATTATCATTTGGCAACAAGTTCATTGTTGACATTTGGTTATGTTTCCAGAAATTTCCATGTGGAGAAGCTGAACCTGTTCCTTCATCAGGTAAAGTTCCCTTTTTGTCTTGGTTTCTTTTATTATTAAAGTGCATTTACGGACATACTATTAATTGTTTACTATCACGGTGTTGCTGACGGTTATTTTTATCTTCTCCTTACAGTAGACAAATGGTTCTACAAGTAATTCAGGAGCATACTAACAGAAATACTGGAACCATAGAAGAATAACTGGATGGCTCCTGGAGGACAATAAATTATGTAGAAAAACAGTACAGTTTTACATTGTACAGGTCCTGACCAATTTATTTTTTCACTTATTTAACAAAATCTCTTTGGAGATGCGTGCCTGTAAACAAAGTACAGATACTGTTCACTGTATCAGACTCTGAAGTGCTTTAATAAAGCTTCTCTGGTAAATTATCAGATGTGTAGTTTTGTTTATTCCCAACCCAATAAGGTTGCAGTTCATTCCTATAACTGGCAGTCACTATGATGAATGTTGAGAGTGTAAGATGAAGAGAGATAATTTAGGTTTGTGCTTTTAATGAAACAATAGTGCTCCCTAGTGGGCAAGTGCTCGTAAAACACGTCTCAACTGCAATGAAAATCCATTCTTTGTATTAATTAAAATATTAATTAATTAAAATATTACTACTCTTTCTTTCTTGAAATAACTTATGTTTTTAAATTATTTACGTTTTAGCAAATAATTCCCCATATAAGTGAAGTAAAAAATACGTAAAAAAAATCGTAAAACGCGTATACTTACACTTGTAGATTTCGTTTATATGTGGAACGAATAAAGGACTAATCTTTCAATACAATAGAGAAACGAATCATTTAAAAATAAATACAAATTTAAAGCGATTTCAATTGGTTTCATTTTAGGTTTTCGGTTAACACTAAAGTTATATACGTTTTTTAAAATACTTCAATGGACAGGAAGTGACGCAAATATTTAAATTATCTCTTGTAGAAGAACTCGCTCTCCCTCCTCCTTCGGTTCTATAGTGACGTATTTCCGGTTAACTGTCAAACTCTTCGGGCTGTCACTCAGTCGACGGGACAGACTGGGACTAAAAAGCAGCAGAAAGAGGCTGAAATCGTCCCTGTACTGAAGGTATTACCACGAAGAATAGAGTCGTTATTTTTTTTCCTATTTTTTCCCCATTTTGTATAACATTTGCAGGCAAAAAGGGTTTAAAGTTCTGCTCGTTCACAGGTTCTCAGATTGTACAAACAAGTTTTTACGTGTGTTGTTTACTACATTTTCTTAAGTTTGTTCAAGTGAGTGTTTGTTTTGTCTCGTTCTCTCTCGTTTCCCCCCATTCCTGTACATATTTGCGTGAAAATCTGCTGACACTAATTTGGCAGCTGTTGGCAAAGTGTGAAAGAATGAAAAAAAAATGCTGTTTGCACATGCTGTTTGAATTAAGGGTCGCGATAAACGTAATTGACTGCAGGCTAATATGAGCAAAGCTTCGTCACTGAAGGCCTCAGTAGATTCACACACATGCAGTGACAGGTGTGTGTCTATGTGTGTGTGCGCGCGCGCGTGCGCTTGGATCAAGTGTCCTTGCCACAACTTGTCATAAAAATAGTCAGACGAAGATCAGCCTCAGTACTTGCTTCAAGACAGAAATAAAGAGTTTCTCTTGTGGCCTGAAAGGTTAACAGTAAAAGTTAAAAAATAAGACAAATAATTCCCGTCGTCATCATATTAGGTTCAACTTAAACGATCAAAATGAATGTCATCCATTTCTTTGTTTACAGTCTGGTTATAAAGACTATGTGCAATACCTACAAGGCCACCAGGGGGCTACAGCTCATTCTTTCATTAGAAATACTTTGTTGTCCACAGGAGGTGTTACAGTTGCTTCTTCAAGAGCATTTAAAAAATGTAAACGAGCAACGACTTTCGCTGGCTTCACTTCCACCTACAAGGTTTTCCCTCAGTGTTTGTTCTAAGCCTGTGTGATTACACAGAGCTTACACATACCAACAGAATAAACTGTGGTCGTTTATTATGATCAACGGATGTTCTTCAGAGCTTGGTGCTGCAACAGCCTGTTAAACTCTGTATCTGTTCGTCCGTGGTGAGTTTACTGGCTCGTGTTTGTGTGCGAGGACGCAGACAGACGTCTTGTTGAGATCTGAGTGCAGTTTGATCACAAAGGCACGGTTACTTTGATGTTCTCACACTGTGATGTCTTCTTCTTCTTCTTCTTCTTTTACCCAGCACCTTGATCAACATCAGTTTTCTGTATTACAGACATCCAAGAACCATGTCGTTTATATTTGGCTGGATCTACAGAAGTTTCAGCAGCGTCTTACAGTTGTTAGGTATGGTACTGACACCAACATGGCTGTCCAGGACTAACAGTTATCCTCAGCGATATAGTCCTGTGTTTGGTGATTTCTTCATTACTTTTTATTATATATTTATATATTTTATGTTACCTGTGAGATTAGATTAGAATAGCTTGGATTAGAACACCTATTGTTTTGTCATTATAGAACACTTAAAAATGTTATATTAGTGACCATGTGACCCTCAGAGTATTTGGACTAATTAGATAATATTGGTACCATTTTAATTTAAGCATTGTGTAATTGTAGGTCAAAGTTGGTGTCATATATATATATATATATATATATTTATATGCAAAATTGATGACATGACCCAATTCCCTTCTGTCCTCTAGGTTTGTACAAAAAGACTGGTAAACTCGTGTTTCTCGGACTGGACAATGCTGGGAAAACGACGCTGCTGCACATGCTCAGAGACGACCGGCTTGGGCAACACGTGCCAACACTGCATCCAAGTACAACCTGCAGTTCAACAATCTGCCTGTTTTTTATTTGACTTTGTGGCATTTTTAAAGTCAGTGCTGTCTTCTCTCCATAGCCTCAGAAGAGTTGACCATAGCTGGAATGACTTTTACAACATTTGACCTCGGCGGCCACACACAAGGTATCACTGAGAATAAACCTGAGGCACGGATATGTCACTGCTGTATCTGTGTGTCGTGTAGAAACTGTAACTGCATTGTTTTAACAGCACGAAGGATCTGGAAGAACTACCTTCCGGCCATAAATGGTATAGTTTACCTGGTGGACTGTGCCGATCTTGAACGACTGGCTGAGGCTAAGACTGAACTGGATGTAAGAATCAGATTGGATTAAATATTAATTTGCCATTAATATTTAAAAAATAACCATGTCACCTTTTGTGTGTGTTTTTAGGCGTTGTTAACAGATGAAACCATCTCCAACGTGCCAGTCCTCATCCTGGGGAATAAAATCGACCGTCCAGAAGCCATCAGTGAAGATGGTCTCAGGTGCATGTTTGGTCTTCATGGACACACAACTGGGAAGGTAATGTTTATTTTAAAACAAAATGCAAATACCTCTAGAACAGTAGTAAGGAGAATTATCTGCAATATGTACATGGATTCTTCTTGACATGTTAGAGAACAACTTCCACACATTGGGTAGTATGAGGTTAAGAAGCGGTGGCTGCCATATGCAAAATTATCATTGTTGATGTAAATCATTTCAAGCACCTGCTGCTTCTTGGCAGGAGGAAATATAAGAGCAGAGAGTGAGAGAAATAAGGATGCAGGAGGGAGTCGTTAAGAAGAGCTGTCTGTGGGATTGACTTCATGACTCACAGCTCCTTCACCTCCACCGCTGTTACAGTCACCGCTTTCTGATGTGCATTTTTGTTTTCTTTTCAGGGAAAAGTATCCCTGAAGGAGCAGAATTTGAGGCCGATGGAGGTTTTTATGTGCAGCGTGCTGAAGAGACAAGGATATGGAGAAGGTTTCCGCTGGCTTTCACAATACATCGACTGAACGACCCTCTGTTTACGACAATGTTTACCTGATTTTTATTATGAATGTGTGCTTCTACAAAACATATTACACATACAAAGAGAACAGTAAGCACAGGACTAACACTGGTTCGCTCTGGACATTGTGTGCCTGTGGTTTTGTTTGTGCCACAAATCACATTATCATCATTTGATTAATTATCATCTGGTGATTCTCAGACTGCATTGACTTTTATTCCTGCTCTGGTTTCTATCTCCGAGTAGAGCCAGCAGAATATTCTGCTTGACATATAGAACACGTCGTCACTTTGAACTCCCTTCTGACCCGTTTTTATTTTTAGGTGCTGGGGTTGACTTACAGTGAAGGTCATTTGGGTTAACATTCTGCTGGAGATGTTACTCTTCCTGGATTTAGAATGACACAAAAATCTGCCACTGACAAAACTCCTTTATGTCTATTTATTTTATTTCAGACTAACAGGAATACACTTACAATACTCTCAGTACATTTTCTGAACACTAGGTTTTGTGTATGGTTCTACACTGGGTATGTTTTTTTATAACAGCCTGCTCCCTCTGAGGCTGACATATTTTGCTGGCTGCATGTGATTTTATTTTATTTTTACATAATCTATAAGGGTTTTTCCATTAGAGGTCAATGCTGTGTGCAAATGTGACATCAACTGAATTATCAAACGTGTCTTTGTTCAGTGTTAACAGGCTAAACCTGCTTTTTGATGGTTATGTGTCAAACGTCCTGACCTGCTGTAAGTACTTTGTGATTGGACACTGCTCACAGTATGCAGTGATTTTATGAGAGTACTTTGGGTCTGGGTCAAAAATAGGTTGCGCACAAATATGCATGAAATAGGGCTGGGCAATAAATCAGTGGAGATATTTATAACTTCAAGGTAAAGTTAATTTTGATTCACAAAATCAATTGAATTGTTTTGGTTTATTTGTTACAATCATTTCAGACATGTGTCCAACCCTTGAATGAAAATGATCTGATAGTGCAATACCTAGTATGTGTTTATATATATGTATATAAATACATATATACTGTATATACACACATACATATATATTTAAGCTGTTATTTATACGATATTATTTCTAAATGATGTGACCAGCCTTGTTACAACAGGCATTTGTTTTTTGCTGTACAACTATTTAAAACAGGATGGGGTGGTTTAAAGTGTGATGTTTAAACATAATAAATATTTTATCAAATATAAAACATGTGACTTTGTTCAAACACCAACATTTAAATAATACCGGAAATAACCTGTAACGTCCAACTACGGAGTCCTAAATACGCGCTAGACCTACATTTTTCTAATTACATTTTTAATCGTATCAATATTTAACTCCAGAGGAATAAGTGCAAAGACCAATTGTGGCCAATGTAAACAGTGGAAGTCCCGCCTTCTACAGTACTTTACGGGCTACAGCTTATTAAAATAATTCTGTCCAATCATATTTAGTCGGCTTGTGTCGACTTTTTCCGTCTACCAATGAGGGACGAACCGGAAGTTACCAAACAGGAACCGAGTTGTTTGTCTTTTTGACATAAACCCAGCACAAGGTAAGTTTTGCTGTACTGCTTAATATCAAAGGTGGTAGTTTATTGTTTTCATATCACTCGAACACTCTTACTGTATTATTTGTGCTTGTTTTTACGCAGTAATTTTATCGTTACGTAGGTTTCCTTAACTCACGTCATTAGTCATGGACGTCAGAGAGGTGGAGAGACGTTGCTGTGTCGTGAAGGTGTCAGAGGCGTTTTCAGCAAAGAAACCAATCAGCTGCAGCGGTGTCATCGTCCACCCTCACACCGGAGTTTTAATCTGTACAGGTCTGCCGTTTTCACGGTTTCTTGCACACGGAGTGCCTCTGTCTCCCGACACTGACACCAGCTTCCTGCCACCATCCAGTTTAAAGGATAAGCTTAAAATCAGTGTCTGTTTCTCATTGGGTACAAACACCAGTTCAGAAACAGTCACAGCACCCAGGTCTAAAACACAAAGGCATCAGCTGCGGGAACTTCCTGCTCGCCTGCTGATGTTGGTCAACTGTCTGGAGTTTAAAGAAGCTTTCCAGGAAGTATTCCAGGAGTCTGAGCAGTGGCGTTTCCAGGGTAACGAAAAAGATGCTGAGCTTATAAGGGATGCCAGCTTCCTCAGCTGGTTTGCTGTCCTTAAGGTAGATTCAGTTGAGAAGAAAATAAGCCCAGATTCCAGAGGTTCCATCCCCTGGCGCAGCACCTCTGTTCTCCAGAAAGGACTCTCTGTGGTAGCATGCGGTTCACCCTTCGGCACCATCTGCCTCGACCTCTTCATCAGCACTCTGAGCAGAGGAATCATCAGTAACCTGGCTGGAGAAGACAACGCCGTCATCCTCACTGATGCCCGCTGTTTGCCTGGCACTGAGGGTGGAGGTCTGTTTCTGTTGGACGGCTCAGATAACGTCCATCTCATTGGACTGATTGTGTCTCCGTTTGGATGGAAGTCCAACGAGTGGATCGGCCTCAGTCTGGTCTGCTCTGTCAGTTCGATTTTCAGGAACATCCTCCGCTGCTGGAAGAATCAAGATTCTTTTCCTGAGGATTTGCTGAATGGTGGAGAAACAGGACTTGACATGATCTCAACGGCCCAGGAGTTGAAACCTGTTAAATATCCTACTGTGTGTTTTGTGCACAGTGGGCGGTTCTGGGGCTCGGGGGTTGTTGTCAGCTCTAATCTGGTTCTAACCTGCAGGCATGTTGTCTGTGGGAAACCAACAGTCGCCCTGAAGTTTCATCATAGGAACAGGTGACAACACAATCACAAGTTTACAGTTATAAATATATATGTATAAATGTAGTCACATTCACAAGTTTACAGTTATAAATATATATTTAAATATATGTGTATAAATGTAGTCACATATATTTATTTGTGTATTTAGCTTTTATCCCAAACAACTCACATAGGGAGGTTTAAGAATATGGTTCCACTGGGGTTTGAACCCAGGACCTTCTGCGTGTAAAGCAGACGTGATAACCACTACACTATAGAACCATATGCCTGTATTCACTACATCCTTCAAGTCTAACTTGCTGTATTTTTGACTTTAAACTTTTAACTTTATTGAACCAACAAGGATTTGTTTCTGTTCTGTTTTTAATAATGACAATCATTTTTTGTATTGATCTGAAACAATATTTGGATTTCACAGAGTCTACGACCGAGTGGGAACTGTGCTGTTTTCCACCGCAGCATCTTCTCCCTACGATCTGGCCTTGGTTCAGGTCAAGGATTCTGTCCCTGACACTGTGATCCCTGAAATGACTCAGATTTTTAATCCAGGTGGGATTAAGTATTCACCACTGTGACAGATCTCCTTCTAGATATGATGAATATTTATTTGTTTCTTCACGCTAACTGGGTTTGTCCCTCCGCAGGTGAGTCAGTTGTCGTGGTAGGGTACGGTGGTCTGGGTCAGGCCTGTGGTCCCTCCCTGACCACTGGAATCCTCTCTAAAGCCATTAGCCTAAACTACCAGCCAGTGATGATTCAAACGACCTGTGCAGTGCAAGCAGGCGCCAGCGGGGGCGCTGTGGTGCGGCCACACACAGGAGAGCTGTTGGGTAAGAAAACGCTGCAGCTGGAATATCATGCATGATCAGTGGGGGGCACATGGTGACCACAGAAAACCAAAGCACTCTTTCACAGTGAAAGGGAAACAACAAAGACAACAGTCTGGACGTTGGTGCTGATTTATCTTTAGGTTCAACAATTATTTTTCAACACTTATCTGTTCATCTTCATCATCTGTTGTACAGGTGTGGTGGCCAGTAACACCAGGGACTTGGCTGCCAAAGTGACTTATCCACACCTGAACTTCAGCATCCCAGTGACTGTTTTCAACCAACTGCTGCAGCAGTTTCACCAGACAAACGATGTGAATGTGTTCAGGAAACTGGACACCACAGAAAAAGACGTCAGACAAGTGTGGAGGCTCCAGATGGCCCAGAGCAAACTGTAACTGTAGGCTTTTAGAAATGTGGGAATTTAACTGGAGAAACATTTTTTTATGCTAATACGAGAATTTAAAAACGATAATTATTAACAGCCAATTTAAAGGTTTTGGGGTTTTGTTTTTTTTTTACCTTTGTGGGGTTTATCATCTGTGTTTTGTTTTTAATTTTATTATTGATCGACCTCAATAAACCTTAGAAAGCATTTAACTGACCAACCAAAAATTGCAAAATATATAGACTTAGATATAAATAATTATTTAATAATAATAATTTAATTTTTATATTTTGTGCATTTTAATAAACAAAAATGAATCCTAATGTCTACAGTTTTCTCCAAACTCGTTGCCGGTGTGTTAATTATGCACAAATAAATATTTTTGCATGTCTTAAATATTGAAGAAAAATATTTGTAATATATATAAATAATTAATATATGTTATAAATAAAAACATAAACCAGAAGTCATTCCTGTATCATAAAAATATATTTATTTTATTATATATTCCTAATGTGTGGATGCCCTGTATATATGTAGTACTTATTAGTTGCCCTCTCCCTGCTGCTGCGTTAATGTGTGATGTGCTGCAGGTGTGTGTGTCTGATTGGTCAAGTGTGTGTGACACGTCCTCTGGTCATCATGAAGCTCCAGCATGAAAAGGTCAGAACCTGTTGAGACCGGAAAAGGAATTAAATGAGTTTTATCACTGTATTTAATGGTGTCAGGAGAACTCTTCCTTCCCATGAACCGTGTGGCGTCTGTTGGCAGGTTGAACCCTTTT